ATATATATATATATATATATATAAAACACAATTTAAATTTGATTTATTTTATTTTATCTTTGAGTGGTTGTAACTAATCCCATTATATGTTTGAGTCTTTCCAAATCACTCAGATAATTAGTCAAACTTTCTTAAGTAGACAGATCAAGATGGGTAGCCATGTTAGTCTTCTATACTACTACAGACAGACTAAGTCCAGTAGCACCTTAAAGACTAACAAAATCTGTGGTAGGGTATGAGCTTTTGTGTGTCACTGCCCACTTCTTCACCACTACACCATGCTGGCTCTAAATGGAGCCATCTGAATAGAGGAAGTGTAATAACTATCAGATTTAAAATCATGTAAACACTGTTAAATTATTTTTAAATGACTCAAAAAAATGTGATGAACCATGGCCTAAAATTTCTAGAGGTGCGAGGGGTGCCCATTTTCACCAGCTCCTCTCTTGCTGATCCCCCCCCCCCCAAAAAAAAAACAAACCCCTGTTTCTGGGAGCTCCCCATTCCCTAGAAGCAGCATTTGGGGCTGCCACAGGAAGGGGGAATCAGTGAAAGCCACATTCCCCCACTGTACCCACTGAAATTTTAGGTGAGATCCAAGCCAATTCTTATCCCTACAATAGTATATCTGAAATTTTTGAAATTCTCTTTTTTTTTTACCATATTTTTATTGAACCAGTAGAAAAATCAAAACAGTGCTCATGATTCTTTCTCTATAACAATTCCAGCCAAATATATCTCCTCGGTTCTGCCCACTGTCTGTATGGGTGCCTTTTGCAAAACCTGAATGCTAAGGATGTTATGTTTACTTTTTAAAAATTATTTATCAATGTCACTGAAAGACATGGTTAAAATGCTATTATTCAACAAATTTTATCAACTAGAGAGATTGCTAAAATTAAGTGACTTTCCCTTCTGCACCTTCAAGAGGCCCTTGTTTTTCACCTGTACAATCAAAAGCCTTTACCATTTTATACCTATAAAGCTTCGTAAAACACACTATGATATTATTTCATTGTTTTTTTCTAAAACTAGCCTGATGCATAATTATATAAAAATCATCTGAACAGTTTGTTGCCATATGATGCTAGGCCATGCACCAAGTCAGAGTTAACAAAATTCCTGCTGCAATAGTAAGAATTTACATCTGCCTAAATTTCCCCTCCTGCACTCTCATTTTGTGTAGAAGTCTCATTGAAATCTCATTTTGTGTAAAAGTCAGTCACCCTTGTTGGAGCCCATTACTTAAATAACCCATGCCACTGCTGAAAATATTTCAAGACTTTCTGAACTGAGCTAAAAGAAAAGAAGGGGTATCACAGGTTTCTACTGTCCACATTTCAAAGATACTCAACATTTTATACTCACGTCATCTCATTCTGCTTGGTCATGAAATGTGCAGTAACAGAAACTACATGTTCCCTTTTCCACTGTTAAACAAAAGAGTGGGTGCTCAGAGTCCTGCTCAAAGCAGCCCTGTATGCATATGATTTGCCAGATTTTTTTTTAAAAAAACAGTATCTCTACAGTTTATTTATTGCATACATTCTCCTCCACTTTACAATAATAAATGGAACAAAGCAAGCCGATTAAAGAACTAATTGAAAGAATTCACACACTGCACAACAAAACAATTGATTCAAGCAATAAAAGTTACAACCCTCTAACTACGCAGAGAGGTATATTTTAACCACTTGTTTCTGATACCATGTTTTCTGTGATTCCTTCCGTCTGGATAACGAGAAGCAGTGTGTTACTTCTGTATAACAAATGTGCTGGCTGTAAACTCCCTGAATGGGTGCAGGACTCTCCCATCCCCTTTATCATAAGCAAACATCATATTTGTTGGCTATCAGGCATCTTTTGTTACTTCCCCCCCTTTTTTTATATAAAAAAAGGCAATGAAGACTGAAGTGCTGCAAAGAATCCAAACTATAAATTTCTCCATCACTTAGGAAAGAGAAATGATAGTCGCCTATAGGTAGCACCCAGAATATTCACAAAAAAAGCAAGATGGCAGAGATGTACAATATGGCCCACTTCACAGCTGAATATTACTGCTGTGACAAGCTGTGGAAAATGTCTACAGTTGTCTTAAGATGCTATATAAATCCTAAGCATCGTTATCATAATCCAACGCAGGAAACCTTTTACAGTCAGCTGAACTAAACGGATGCAAACGTACTTCACTGGTCTCCTTTTCCTTCAGGACTACTGATAACTGCTACACAGCTTGATAAGGGTCAAGAATATGCAACAAGATTTGTACCGCACCCTAGCAATTAAAAAGCGAGAGCCTGCTTTATTTATAGTAGGATCCACTTATACATAACCTATAGCATTTTGAGCACAATAATTAAAGTGAAGAATTGCGGAAGGCCCACTTACCAATTTAGCTTCTGACTGCACAGGTTGCGGGGAGGAGGGCCCGGGAATTCCTGGGATACTAGGCACCATGGTGACAGGTCGAACAAGCTGTCCAAGAAAACCAGAATTAATACATAAATAAGAGCATATCGGACTTCATAAGCAGCTAGGATCGGCTGCGCCTTTCTACTCAAAGGCTCCAAGACAACTGAGCTTCACTTGCAAGGCCCAAGTTGTACTGTCACAGAGAAAGCTAGAAATTTTATTTATTTATCATGCTTTATTTATACCTGGCCTTTTCCCCCAGTGGGGAGCCAAGGCAGCCTGCTTCATTTTTGTCTCCTCGATGATATTCTCACAACCACCCTATATGGTAGTTTAGGCTGAGAGTTTGTCAGTAGCCCAAGGCCACCTAGTAAACTTCCACGACAGAGTGGGAATTCGAACCCAGCTCTCCAGATCCTAGTCCAACGCTCTAACCATGATACCATACTGGCTGAGCATCATGAGAGGCTCATAGACTCTGGAATTCATCCACTCAGCACTGGGGAACAGAGAAAAACAAACGTCCCTACCACTGGCTTTTTAAAATGGTATTTAATACTTATTTTTTTCAAATGGAGGAGGCTAACAATGGAAAATTTCAGAAGGTAGCCGTATTGGTCTGCAGTAGATCAGCTAGACCCAAGTCCACTAGCACCTTAGAGATCAAGAAGACGACGAAGAAGAGGAGGAGGAGGAGATTGGATTTATACCCCGCCCTTCACTACCCAAAGGAGTCTCAGAGCGGCTTACAAACTCCTTTCCCCTCCCCTCCCCACAACAGACACCCTGTGAGGTAGGTGGGGCTGAGAGAGCTCTTTTGAGGACTGCTCTTGAGAGAACAGCTCTGACAAAACTATGACTTGCCCAAGGTCATCCAGCCAGGTGCAAGTGGAGGAGTGGGGAATCAAACCTGGTTCTCCCAGATTAGAGTCCGCACACTTAACCACTACATCAAACTGGCTCTTTGGTGTATACGCTTTTACAGGGTATACGCTTTCTAAAGTCACAGTTCTGATGAAGGGAGCTTTGACTCTCGAAAGCTCATACCCTAAAAATCTTGTTGGCCTCTAGGTTGCTCCTGGACTCGAATCTAGCTGTTCTAACAAAGAAAGGTGGGATGATTAAACACACACACACACACAAGTTATAGGCCCAGGATGGAGGTTACTTAGCAATAAAAAATTTTATAATTATGTTTCTGACTGGGGATGTAAAGTGGTTTAAATCCATGAAATGAAGAATGTAGGGAGCCAGGCTGGATGACAGCCTGGTTTGTGGGGACAAGAGCCTGGCGATGTCTGATGCTGAGTGGTTCTCCCACACCCATCGGCTGATCTGAAGGTCCTCCCCTTCCCCAAGAGCTTCCCCCTTAAGTTTTTTCTCCCTGGATCCCGGAGTCGGGACCAGCAGCTCACTCTTCAGCTCCTGTCTCTCAGCTCAGCATGCTGTGCTGCAAGCCCCTCCCTTCCATCCACCGGGGACCTCTCCAGATCAGCTGCACCCACATATGCTCTTTTGGATTAAGTAGAGCCACAGCCTGCCAGCTGTTTTTCCAGCACTCGGACTAGGGTGTCTGTGTGGGTGCACTTGCCTTTTGGAAAACCCCTGGGCTACAGCCTGCCATTTAAACACACTTACTGGAACTGCGGTTGGGACGTGCACGTTAGAATTTGTGATCGAGGCAGGAATAGCAACAGGCATGGTTTGTCCATTAGGAAGATGTAACAGCAGAGGGAAAGGACCTGGCACCGGTCTGAGAGAAGCAGAAACAGAAAGACAATTACTATAGCACACTTCTCACACAAAATATTTTACAATGTATGTATGTAAAAACCTGGCAGCACTGGAGAACAACCATGGCTTATATTTTAAAGACAGGTATCAGAGGCTGGCAGAGGACAATATATCTGGGTAGACAAATGCCACCCGATTATATTTTTTTAATTGTAAGATTATATGTCTTTTAATCGTTCAATACGGATTATAAAAGGGAATAAGACCCACATTAAAAAAACAACAACGCTCTAGCCGCTAATCCTTCATTCAATCTTTTGCCACATTGACAGGATCAATCCAGATAGAATCATAGAATCACAGAGTTGGGAGGGGCCATCCAGGCCATCTAGTCCAACCCCCTGCTCAATGCAGGATCAGCCTCGAGCATCCCTGACGAGTGTTTATCTAGTCGCTGCTTAAAGGCTGCCAGTGAGGGGGAGCTCACCACCTCCCTAGGCAGCTGATTTCACTGTTACACAACTCTTGCTGTAAAAACGTTTTTCCTAAGATCCAGGCCAGTACCATCCCGCCTTTAATTTAAACCCATTATTATGAGTTCTATCCTCTGCTGCCAACGGGAACAGCTCCCTGTCCTCCTCTAAGTGACAGCCCTTCAAATATTTAAAGAGAGCAATCATGTTCCCCCTCAACCTCCTCTTCTTCAGACTAAACATTCCCAAGTCCCTCAGCCTTTCCTCATAGGGCTTGGTCATGCTACCTGTTTTAAAGAGACATACATTGCAAGACAGAGGTGCTTAAAAATAAGCCTTTCACAATTTGTCAGTGCACACATATACACAAAACTCACACTATTGGCCTATTGGAGGATGGCGCCTGTGTTATGACGGTGCTAGAAGTTGGTGAAGGTATGGCTTGCTGAATAATGACGCTCGAGTCAGAACTTGCAAGCAACACATTAGGAACCTGTAGAGAAGCCGGACGAACAATTGTTGATGTCGGTTGCGCTGTCTGCTGCAGAGACACTTCCTGGGGGGAGAACAGAAAACTTATCATCACACTTTGACTCTCCAGAAGCCTTTTACAATCAAATGTTATCAACAGAAATTTATTGTTTACAATTCTTTCATAGATTTAAAAATCCTGAGGGTTTTCCCCTCCTCATTGCTACAGTGACAGTTCTTACATCAGGGCCACTTCATGGGAATATTCTCTGGGCCAGTTCCTGTGTTAGGGATACTTGGAACTATGTTCTGCAGAAACGGCTGCTATTGTGAAATGGCTTCTCACAAAGTGAGCCACTTTACAAGGAATATCTATGTCAGAACTTCGTAATCCTGTAGTAGCACAGTCCGGCATGGAAATTTTCCAAGCAGTACATGACTTGCATGAATGAAATTGAAAACACACCTTTTCATCATTGGTAGTGGACTCTGGATGAGGTAAAGGGCTATCCTGGTGAGTTGTCTCAACAACTGAAGGCTCTTCAATCTTATTCCTTATAATTGGTGTTGCAAGAGGTGATAAATCTAGAGGCATCTGGAAAAGTTGGCAGGAAGATAAAAAAGTAACAAAAATCAGCTGCACATCAACTCAACAGAGCAGGTCTCTTTTTAACATGAGGCCATTTACAATGCAAAACACAATCCATGGAATACTATTATTAGGAGCAACCTAATAAAGAAGCTCATGTCTTGGCTGCCGTCACCTCTTTTCAATGACTTTTGGCAGTAATAAGATGTGTAATCAAAGGAAATTATGTTCTGCTGGCACCACACATTCCCTCTTTAAAAATATATTACTCATGGGACAAGCAGCTATAGTTCATCCCAAGAAAATACTAGAAATAGGAACACGGAAACACAGTTAAAGGCACTTTCATTTTCAGCTAAGCAACATTATTAATTAATATTTTGGTATCTTCTACAGAGTTATTCCTGCCCTCTCCTCAGGTCTCGGTTTCTCATCAGAATAGATTTATAAAGAGCAAATTACTTGTAGTACCAGGACCCTTCACAGAAATAACTTCCTACAAGGGTGGTTTCCAACACAGTTTATACTTACATTCTGGAAGAGTAACACTGACCACCACACTGTCTACTGGTGAAGGAACCCCAACTCAGTTCTGACAGTTCTGCCCAAAATTATTTAGCTTTAAACTTCTGTACGGTTAACATACTTTTTTAATATCATCTTCAGACGCTTTTTTGAATTCATTTTCAAAAGGGCTTGCTAGTTCATTGAATAAACCCACTTCTTCACAATTCTTCAGGAATCGGGTAGGTGTTGGGGTCTGATCTAAAAAGAAAAGCGGAGAATAGGCTGTTGCTTTCATTCTCACTCCACTGTATGTTATGCTTTATAACATCTGCAGAATCCAGTCACCATCACTTCTCTTTAAATATGCAACTGATCACAACAAGAACACAGTAAAAAAACCAAACTTCTGCCTTATTAAAACTAAAACTATATCCTGAATGCTACATTTAGCTAACCCCATTAAAAAAAATCTGTACAGTCGATACTGGAGAACTTTAATGACGTCTATGGAAACGTTTAAAAATGCTTTAAAATAATTTGATCACTTTTAGGCATTTATTTATTAATTTAATTAAATTTCTAGACCACCCTCCCCTGTAAAACAGGGCTCAGGGCAGTGTACAACAACAAAAACACAATAATAAATTAAATACTTAAATACAACAGTTGGCCTAATTAGATGGCGCTAAGCAACTTCAGATTGTGCTGCTGCCCCACCGGGGGGGGGGGGAGGCAAGAAACAGGGGTGCCAGAACAGGTGGAAACCATCGCTGCCCTCAACCAAAGGCCTGGCAGAATATCTCTGCCTTACAGGCCCTGCGGAACTGCATTACATCCCACAGGGCACATATGCTGCTCAGCAGAGAATTCTACCAAGTTCGAGCCAGGGCCGAAAACGTCCAGGCTGTGGTCTAGGACTGGATCACCAGTAAGTTCTTATCCACAAAGATACGTGGCACAATATTATAACCTTCAGATTAAGGTAAAATACACAGGATAATCATAAGTGCTTGCTTCACTGCTAGCTGGTGGCCTCACCCAAATAAACAGAAAAATCCAGGAGTTATTTAAAATGGCCAGCGATTCTATATTTGATTCCATAGTTTATTGGATGAACAATTTGAACTTAACTGATGAGACAGTATTGCATAGCAGTTAGAGTGCTGGACTTGGACACAGGGGATTGGAGTTCAAATGCCCACTCCGCTATGAGCTTTGACTGGTGACCCTGGGCCAGTCACTTTCTCTCAGCCCAGCTTATCACAAAAGACTGCTGTGAGGATAAAATGGGGGGGGGGGACTTGTATGTACTCTGAGCTCTCTGAAGGAAAGGTGGAATAAAAAAGTGATGGATTTGAGCACTGGGGTTAGTTTGTCTTATTTAAAAACGTTTAATGCTGCTCAGTGACCGCAATTCTTTATCCACTCCCTGAGAAATAATTTCCATTTGTTTAAACGGGGTTTATTTTCAAGCAACTGGGAGAAGGGCAACCATCATCAATACACACTATTAAAGATAAACTTCAGTTTCCAGCTTGATAGGTCACCGTACCTAACGCTAGTGGACAATAAAACATTACCCCTATTCCCAATACACTTGCATTATTGGGAATGCTAGTGAGAGCAGACTGTTGTGGGTTGGATCCAGCTATAATGACTGAATAACCTGAATTTCAGTCATAGGAGAAAAAAAAGATATTCAGGAGATCATGTTATATTGCTTTGGCAATATAATGTGTAACCACCACATGCAAATGTTTTCCAGGATCAGTGCCAACCTAAGAATCCTACTCAAGTCTACTCAAAGGAGCTTACTCCCAGGAAAGTGTTCTTAGAATCACACTGTTAGAGTAAGGCTGAGGTCTGCTAGACCAAAGTGCCATGTAACTGGACTGCTATTCATTGTTAAGAAGTCAAAGCTGGTATTTAGATGACACATTACCTTGAGAGGCAAAGCAATGGCCAAATATGCCGCAAACATTTTGCTAGTAAAGGGATCCTTTGATACTGCTTCTTATGAATTGAGACAAATCATATGTAGAAAATACACAAAATGTGTGCACATTCCAGAAGATGGATTAAGAAAAACATATACTAACCAGCTACAATGACACTGTCATTACGAGCTGGACCAAATTTCAGTGTCATCTCATGTTTATGTTTATGGACAGCCAAATGATCCTCGTTGGTAAAACGCTGTGGCAAAAAGTTTTAAAATATAGTTAAAAAACCTGAATTTTGACTAAAATGATAACAACATGGAGAATCATTTTTATAACAGGTAACAGCTGATTCTTTTTTAAAAGCCCTGAAAACACTGGTGGTACACCTACGTACATTTCCCATCCACTGCACAAAAGAGTTTAAAGAAAAAGTTTGTGTTTTCTCAGCATTTAGGCTGAATTATCATAAGTAAAATAGTAAGAGATATTTCCAGAGCCAACAATCTTTTAAACAAAGGCTTCACACCTCCTGCACACCTCTTGTTGATGAGCAGCTGTACAATGATTATAGCACCACACCTGTAGAAAGAAACCTAGCAGTCTGTCAAGATTATCTGCTAGCTTATAAAACATGAACGCTCATGGAATGCATGTGCAAGTCTCTCTAGACATGATTTTTCAGCACTGCCATATTGTCATTTCATTTTTAGGAATATAAATCTAAAATTGATTTAAGCAACTTGCTGTTAAAATCTTCTAGACCATAATAAGGCTGAAGTCCCTTCCAATAATGTAATTCTAATGCCTTAATGATCATTTACCTCTGGAAAAATATCATTAACATCTCTGTTTTTTAAAAAATCTGTTCTCATGGTGGTTAGTGATGAAATATACACTGTTTAACAAAAGCCTGAAGTAGACACGACTATCTAAAGCCAAAAATGAAACTCGGATTGCATCTATCAATACTTTTAACAGTTACTTGCTGCAGAACTACTTGACTACTCTGTATTACTCAGGTTCCCATCAGTAAGTAGAAAGTAAGTATTCCCAGACAAAGAATGGATGTTGTCGATGCTGGCTATCATGAACTGACAGCACACACCGTAGCCCAAGTGGGAACAATTGGTCCTGCCAAACAGACAAGGCTGGCCATTACAATTGACAGTATTGATTATCCTGACAGAAGTAAATACATGCAGTTAAGGAATGTGACCTCTGTAGGATGACTGCCTTGGGCAGTTACCTTTAAAAATTAGTAAAAGTCAAGTAAAAAAAAATCTTTTAGTGTTAACACATTTTCATTTGTTGATTAATATGGATAATTCCAACATATATTACCTGTCCACATCCAGGGGCAGTGCATAAAAAGGGTTTGTCATCACTCATATTCCACAGGTCCTTGTATTACCTGTGTTGAAATAATACACAATTCTAATATTTCAAAACCACAGAACCATGTTATCAAACATGCTGCATAACTCCAGCATGCAATTTTGCACTTATTACTATTCCCCCTGTACAGAAATGCCTCCGTAAGAACAAACCCCAAAAGAGCAAATATTTCAACAAGCACATTAGGTTTTCTAAATTACGTGAGGAGGACGCTGAAACTCCAAAGACATTTCTGCAATTATGTCTTATCAGGTGACATTTCCACAAAATATGGAAATGATGCTTTTATATAAAGACAGAAAGCAATATTGCACAACATATACACACGTACCTGGCAGTTTTCACATGTAAGCTGATTTTCATAAGGTGAACTTATTATAGTCTCCTTTTCATGACAATGGTCCTGCAATTCAAGAAAAACATGTCACTCCTTTCTTATTCTATATGATAGCCCATGGTGGGTTACAAACACATCTTTACCTAATTGAGTTTCATAGTAACAGAAATATGCTGCAATAAGTACAAAAATACTTTTTTTAAAACTCTGCAAGCATCTCTAACCAGCCAATGATCCCTCTAAGCTGTGGAGTCATGTGAGCAAAAATTCTACTTTGTGAGCTACTGCCATTAAAATTGTGAGCAAGCCATTTGGAAACTGCATAAATCAGTTGGCTTTGGAGCCATCCTTCCTGAGCTAAGACAAAAATGTGTGAGCCAGAGGCTAGAAAACTGTGAGCTAGCTCACACTAACTCAGCTTAGAGGGAACACTGCTAACCACCCCTGCAGAAGTGTTCAGATAGACAACCACAATGTTTGGGCAAGCTAGGACATGAATAAAAGTAGATCTTTTGATAACAGCACCTTCTTCAGCCTCTTCGATCTTGTGAACTGCTTTTAGCTATCTCCAGGGTAGTTGTGTTCAGACATTACATTTGTGCATGTTCACCAGATCCCTCCTCCGTGTACTGTGTTATCTGCTACCCTATCCTTAGAAACAGCAACTGCTCTGACACGCATCCTGTTTGTCCAGATCTGAACTAGGATTCCCCAGGCCCCATCCTAACACTAGCTATAATGCCTACCTGAATCTGTGCACAAGAAATCAGCTCTCCACTCTTATGCTTGCAGTGCCCCTAGCCTAGATGAACAATGTGATGTCACTACTTGTCTGGACATGACACATGGTTAATACAGAAAAAGGAAATGAGCACGCAACAGCAAACTGAATTATATTTCTGCTAGATTTAGTAGGAGCTACATATAAGGGCCACAGACCCTTATATGCATAAGCAAGGTCTGCACCCAACCATGATGGGGTTCAATTTATGACCAAAATGGAGAAGTGGGAGAGGAACGACAGAACCTCCCCATGTGCTTGGCTTGCCTCCCCACAATCTGTTCCTTTCACCCCAGCTGAACTCCAAAACAAGAAAAACTGGGTTGGGAGAAAAAGCTACTAGGGGACAGCTTCAGGGTGGTAAGCAATGGATGCAGGCAGGTTCTGACCTCCATACCCACATCCCTTTTAAAAACTGGGCATCTCTCCTTCATGCACAGTTGGGAAGATCCACTTTGGATGCTGCTATCACATGGAACGGGGGTCTCTGTGTAACCAAGTCAGAAAGAAGGCCAGGCAACCAAGACATCAGCTGCATTCAGCTGGCATCTTTAACTGTAGTCAAGGGGGAAAGTGCATGAAACCTGCTTGCTTGCTCATGTATGCCCATTCCTCCTGCTAAGAACCAGCTACATGCTAACTCAGGTTGCCCATGATGTACAAACATAGGCATGTCAGTTAGCCAGCATTAATTTCCCCTCAGCTACGCAGGATTCCCTGACCTGGACAGTCCAGGCTAGCCCGATCTCATCAGTTCTCAGAAGCTAAGCAGGGTCGGCCCAGGTTAGTATTTGGATGGGAGACCACCAAGGAACTCCAGGGTTGTTGCAACACAGGGGCAGGCGATGGCAAACTGCCTCTGGACATCCCTTGCCTTGAAGACTCTACAGAGTTGCCGTAAGTCAGCAGTGACTTGACAGCACTTGCCAACACCAAGCAGGATTCTAAGTCTAGACTGACTGAGGACACCAGTTAGTGGGAAACCAGTTCCAGGTATTCGTATGTTATGTCACGGAGCAAATGCTGAGCCACTGTTCCGGGGTGGGGGTGGGGGGAGAGGGGAGCACACATGCAAACCCAGCTGCAAGGTGGGTTCAAGCATATTTTCCTGGCTGAATGCACAGAATGACTGAAGTGAGATAACTAAATATTTATATTTACATTCATTCTATAAACAGATCAAAAACGTTATGGTGATCGTAACACTGCACAGGGATTTCAGTTGTACAGCCAGAGACCTGCAAGACTTACAGGGGAGATCCTAACCTTTTCACTGTGCTTCTCTTGCTCCCAAGAAGCCCCCTCCTCTCCTTTTCACCCCTCACCCCTTTTCTCACTTCCCCAAATCTCCCTGTCAGAACATTCCCTCCCTTTCCAAGTCTCTTGTCTGTCTCTTGCTTTTCTGCTCCCCACTCCCTCCTCCTCCTCTTGGGTTCACACAGCAGTGGCACCTCTTTCACCCTCCCTATCACCTCCTCCTCCCTTTCCTGCAGCTTCTTTGGGGCTTTGGACACTGCTGCCCCAAGATTTTTCAATCCACACCCTGAGGTTCAGAATCAATATCAGATATAAGTTAATGAAAGTCTAGGGGCAAGTGATGCACTGTATTCTTGGTGCTTGGGGGGGGGGCAACAGTGGGAGGGCTTCTAGTGTCCTGGCCCCACTGGTGGACCTCCTGATGGCATCTGGTATTTGTAGCCACTATGTGACAGAGTGTTGGACTGGATGGGCCACTGGCCTGATCAAACATTGGCTTCTCTTACGTTCTCTTATGTAGGGTTTTTACACCATTAATTGAATGGTGCAATTACACCTCCTTCGTGACATGGATTATGACTTTACTTACAGTTACCTATGTTTTTGAAGATGACGAAGTCTAAGAAAAGATCCAGTACTGTAAATATCCAGGGACCCTAAGCCCCCTAAAATCAGTTATGACTAGAGATACAAAGACTGGGGGGGGGGGTAATGCAAAATGCAAAATGCAAAAAAAAAAAGAAGCTTATTGCCCTACCTTGCAGGAAGAAGAAAAAAGATCAGAACGAGGTGAGGCAGAAACTGCACCAAAGCCTCAGAGGAAAACTGAAAGTTTCATTGAGAACTTAGCTCTCTCTAACTAGAAAGCCAAAATTAAGGTAAAATAGCACAGAATGCATCAGTTTGTAATACTAGGTATATCTGCAATTTTGTTCGTACAAAAGTAAGGCATTCATAACATTTAAATTCCATAAATATGTCAAACATTGCAATTTTGTATGCTAAGCAAGTTGTAAATGATGCCTTTTATGTTGTTAAAGTAGTAACATTTAGGCTAAAGGCTGTGGCCAAAACAGCCATATCATAAAAGGAAAGTAGTAAAACTAGTTTAGGTTTGATAGGACAGGCTGTGCATATATTTCAATTTTCCCCAAAATTTCCATTTCTTCTAGGGGAAAAAAAATCTGGTTTTGTACATTTCTGGAAATTTTACATCTCTATTTATGTAGCAAGGATGCTAATTTGAACATAATATAACTTGTCTATTAGTAGAAATGCATAGAACTATGCTGAGTAACAAGCTACTCTCTGTTAAGTCCAACATTTCATGTTTAACTTTGGCTCATAAGGGCAATGCAATTTTATAATTACCTTAGATAACTCTGTCCTAATTAACAATATGAATATACTGTACATTAATTTAAGATTTGTTATATTAAGATTATTTAAAGTTTATTTGCATTGATTCACCCCCCCCCCCCCCCCTTCACCAGGAAGAATTCTTCTAAGGCTACTTTTCTAATGAACTACTGAGCATCCCGGAGGATTCAATTAATATTCAATTCATAAAGATTTCTGATATTTTTATCACAATGCCTTTCTACACTGTTCTTTCTTAAGAAAACATTCATTTATTTATAAAAGCACTTCTGAGGTACGACAGGAATATGAGTCAACAATGGATCGCAAGCAGGATATAGGCAAACCCCACTCCCATTAATACACAATACAAGGCTTGAACAATTCTGTTTCTCCAGTATAAGGTAGGTTCAGTATGAAATGTATAAGAGAAAAACAATAGGAAGTTTGGTAGCTAATGCTGTAAGATCTATTTGAAGTGGCAATCGAATACAAAAGAATACAAAGGGGAAGCTGCTGCCAGTCATCATGTCCCGGCCGGAGTGACGGGATGGAAGAAGAGGGCGTACCGGCCCGGGACGCCCCGATACGTACCGGGACGACGACGGACGAGCGACGGCCAGCAGGAGCGGGGCGCGGGCGGGGCGAGGGTGGACCAGCGTCGGCGGGGCCGCGGGGCTC